ATTTGTACTATATCAAATTAAGCTAATAAAAACTAACTGGCATTGTTGACAAGTTAAAAAAAAAAAAAAAAAAAAAAAGTTAAGTTAAACTATCAAAAAAATTAAAACTAAGTGCAGGCCAGACTAAGTTACAAAAATATGTAATTTGTAGACTCTTATCTGCAATTTAACTATAAGTATTACTTATTTAAACTTTATATACTGCAATTCTTACTATATTATTAAATTATAAATACAAATTATTAACTCTTCTTAATGATTACTTGTATAAAAATTCTCTAATATTAAACTAACAATAACTAAATAATTTACTAAGTAAATCTTTTTGATCTTCTAAGTAAAATTGTTCATACTAAAATTTTATATATAGGTAGTCTAGTTTTATATTTTTTAGACCTCATTATAATAAGATATATCTATTAACTGCAAAATACTTTTTTTAAAATTTTTTAATATTTTATTAAGCTAATCTTAGTTGCTATCTTAAACAAAAAAGACAGAACTTATTTAAAGTTTTATTTTGATATATTATATATTAATATTAGATTAATATTAAAAATTTTATGCAAAAAACCTTTAAAACTCTCTTACAAAACTTCTGTTCTTTTTTTGCAAAAAATGTTTTTTTTTTTAGAAGGATCTTGTATTCTAGAATGCCTAGTATTTACAGATCACTACTAAAAGTTATACTATTAATTAATTCAATACAAATTTTAACTTTTTCTATTTTTGGTTCAATTAACTAACACAAAAATTTGTTTAATATCAATTATTATAACCACTTAGCTTGCATATTCTGTGCTACTTATTTGTCATATTTTCTTATTTGTTATATTTTTTACTCATCACATTTCTTATTTGTTATGCCCTCTTATTTGTTATACTGCTTATTTGTCATATTTTATATCTTTCAAATCTTCTAACACTCAAGATTTTTTATAATTTACTTTATTTTTAATTTTTCTTAAGCAAAAATGTCATCTTTTATCAATAAAGACTTGGACTTCTATAATATTGACTACTATTATAGCAAATACAAAGACCATCATAGTGTAGAAATAATTAAGAGAAAGCCTTAATTTCTTTGTGTACTTTCTGTAGATGTTAGTCTAATCAATTGTAATACTATTAAAAAACATTATTACTTTAAAGTTCTTTTATAACCTACTATCACTACCTGTTTCTATAAAACATATTATATTAGTTTTATCTTTAAATTCTATAGAATTTTTTATTTTACATCTTTTGGTCAATTTACAACTCAAACTACTATAACTATTTCTTTATAACAATTCAAAAAAATTACTAATAAACTTCCTACCTTACTTAATTCCAAGCAATATCAATCTGACATTAGCTTTACCAAACCTTATATTTTATTTTTAGGCTTCCAAGTTGATCTTACTTTAACTATAATTGTTATACATTTTAAACATTACTATATATATTTTATGTGCAGAACTAAAAACATTCATTGTGTTGCAACTAAATAAAGTAATTATGCTCTAAACTATATTACTTGCATAATCTTTAAAAATTAACTAATTTACAAACTTTGCATTCCTGATTTATTAAACATCAAACTCAAACCTCTTGCACAAATCTTGCCTCTCACATTTTAACAACAAATAACTACAGCTATAATTAAATCTAAACTAATTAGTTTAAATAATCAAACTTTTTTCTTAACTTATAAGAAACAAGTTATTTATCTTTTTACTCTTAAACAACAAATTATTCTTGCTCTTATCAAAATCTAAAAAATAAAACTAAGTAAAAAATTCCCAAGTCTACATTTCTTTTTTATTCAAAAAATAAAAAAACCAAAAAAAAAGCTAATAAGATAATATTAATGATCTTGATTGATTTAAGAAATACCTAGTAACTAATTCTATAAAATATAACATCAAACTTAACAATTTTATTGCTTAACAATTATTTAATTTTATTAAGCCATATCTTATAAATATTTATTTAGAAAAAATCACTCAACTAGCAACTGAAAATACATCTGAATCCAAACTTAACTACAAATATTTAGTCAAAACTTTAGCAAATGAAAGGCCTAAATTCTTAATAGATCTTATCTATAAAGCAAACCTTTCAATTAACAAATTAATTTTAATTTTATTCAAACTAATTCACTCTACCTTTATTTCTTTTCTTAAAAAATTTACTACAACATTATTTACTTAACTAAATTATCCAAAAATTTTTGTTTTATATAACTTTATTTTTCCATATACTACTACAAATCATAAACAAGTAGCTCTTAATTTAGCTTGCTTATATTTTATTTTCTATAACAAATACAAAACCATTCATGCAAAATTATTTTATAAATCAACCAACTAACTTTAACACTTTAACTAGATTATTACCACAAACCTAACTATTATATACCTACAGTTGTACTTGTAGACTTCTGGACCAACAGCATACAGGTAATTTCTATAACTTCTATATTTGTCTACTACAAGGAAAAACAAATAAAAAATTATTTAAATGAATATCTGAATGAATAAACTATAGTATCCCTACTAATAACATCTTATAATATCAAATCTAGGTGAGTTTTAATCATTCTAATAGGTTTAGATTGCAGATAAATTAGATAAAATTAGATAACAATTTTATTTATAGTATAAGTCTTATTTTTGTAAAAAATTTGTAAATTGGCACCAGCCTGTGTCAACTTATGTAGTTGCCTAAAACAAATTAATAATAAAGATAAAGACAAAACCTCACCTTAATACAAAAAAAAAAAATCATTTTATAAAGATCTCAAACTTTATTCTATTCATTTTAAATTATTTTATTATGTTAGTAAAGATAATATCAACTAACTACTTTTTAAAATTCAAAATAATAATAAATTCAATATTAATATATCTTTTAATATTTTTTAAAAGCAATTTTTCCAAATCTTTAAAATTTCTTTCTTAAAAAACTATTTACTTAAATTTAAAACCTAGTTCAAAAAGTTCTTTAACATTTATAAAAACAATTTTAAAGTATTAATCAAGAAAAAATATTTAACTACATTAAATATTAAATTGCTCTTAAACTTTCAAATATGCAAAACACTTCTACTAACTAAATTTAAAATCATATTTATTAATTCTTTACAAAAATACTTTAATTTATGTTTTTTTTTTTTTTTTTTTGGTATTAAAGTGACCTCTTTGGTCTTTTGACTTTTATTAATCACTTATCAGTATTGTAGTTCAATGAACATTACAGAGGAGCATACAATTGCTACACATGTAACTTTTCCATATTACCTATTTAAGAAGTCTGCCCAAAGATTTCTTACCAGTTGCTATACCTAACATCTCTGTTTGAGTATTCTACTTTAAACTTTCTGGATCTGTAACCTGTATTAATTCACTGGGTTATACTCAGATGTCTAGATCATTGTCTTAATCTTAGGACTAATTTATTCTTGAAGTAAACCTTCTAAAGCCTTCTGTATCTATTTTTACAGCCGACTTAGGTATCACTATAGCAAAATTAACACTTGCAATTAGAGCTAACTATTAAACCACTATGCCTTTGTAGAGTTTACTTAGACTCAGTATCTACTTTACAGCAGAATCCTGGTACTTTAGTATACTTCTGCTTTTTCTTCTGCCTTTTTACTAAACTCCTAATTCAGATAGCCTATGTAGAACTACAACTAGTCTATCAGTATATTAGATCAGCTTGATATTTTTTTCCTTTAATTTGTTCTGGCATCCTAGTTGGTAGTACCTCTGAGGCTCTTAACCCAGAAGTTCTTGCTTATCTAGCTACTATAACCAGGTACTAGACCTTGATATCTGTTTCATCAAGTTAGCCTTTACAGTAAGACCATTAAAGATTTAGCTACTTCTCTATTCAGGTCTTTTTAAATGAACTTCTTGTTACTCAATTTTAATGGATTTACATAGCTACAAAAACTTATTTAGTGTTTGCATTATCTAATTTGTTGGTTTGCATTCCTTTGTATAACTTCAATATTGCACAGATGCTCTATGACTTGTCAGTTATGCTGATGTGACTGCCATTATAGGTATCCTAATCTAATCATTAGTAACAGCTACTATAATATAAATATTATATAAAAAATTATTCAAATTTTTGCTATTGATAGGATTTGAACACCCAACTTACTACTTGAAGGGTTAACAACCTAACCACTTCACTAGGTTACCACATTTCTTAATATAGTTTGTAATATGGTATTGAAGTTAAACAGAGTTGGCATGAATAGAATTCAGACAATGAAAAACTATCTAATGTCTATTGTCTAAACTGTCTAATTAAAAGCAATGAACATAGGATTGGACATATAAGATAACTTTTCCATCATTGGTAAATCACATAATATTAAATCACTTCATATAATTGGTCATTTATGTAACATATAACAATTAACTAATAAAATTGCATCTGTAATCAATGAGATTTTATATAGTTAATCGTAATAATAAAGTTTCTTATATCTACTTTTATTTATTAAGTGTTTATGTTATAGAACTTTATAAATGAAGCTATACTTTTATTAATAAACTAAACCTCTTTTTGGCAAAATAATTGTGCTTATATGTTTATTAAATAATATAGTTCCTAAATTAGTATCCAAATTATATATGTATTAACAATCTTAAAGTTTTATTAGATGAATTATCCTTCAAAGGTTAGTATGTATAATAGTATAAGGTGCAATTTTTTTATAATTATTATGCATTACAATTAATTAAATGATAAGAATAGTGCATATTCTATTTAATCTATTTAAGTCTTGTTCTATAGATGTCCTAGTTTAGAAATATTTCATATGAAAGTCGCAACTTTGCACATACACATATATATGTATGATATAGTATGAATTATTATAGTAATAGTACTAAAAATTTTCATATTTAATATATCATTTAAATTTAAACAATATAAAAAATATATTACATAGTTTTACTATATTTAAATATCTGTTTTACTACAATCAATAAACAGAAATGTATAATTTAAATATTTTCAAAAGGAAAAGGCAAAATAGGTAAAAACAAATTTTGCAATTTTCACTTCATAGCTTAATTTTCAACAAGGTGTATTTCTAAATTAAGAAAATTTATATTATCATCAATATTATCTTGTTCTTTGAATTCTTCTTCAATTAATAACTCTTCTCATTTATTAATAACAGTGTTCCAATTAGCTTTTGAAGAAGTATTGTTATTTTTGTCACCATTAGTATCAGTTTCTTTAGAAGTTGAAGAAACAATAGGAACTGGATTAACAGAAGAAGAAAAATGATTTGATTGAATATAAAGAAAATTGTATTTTTTTTTATAAGCTTATAAAATTTCTGTATGAAGCTAACTTATTGTAGTTACTTTCTTAGGCTGTTTATAAAAAAAAAAAATATTAATATAAAAAAAAAGTTTATAGCAGAATAAAACTTACTTTTAATTTATTTCATAATAGGAAGTATAAAAAACCTATAGTTGAAAAAAGTCTTTTTACTAAGGCTGTTGTAATGCATATGCCAAATAATTAGCATGCAATATGACTCAATTCTGATGCAAATCAGAATTGTGTAACCATCAAAGAACAATATCATTCTTAAATTGTTTAAATATTTTTTTAATAAAAGGATATCTTTATTGTTTGTAAAACTCAAATTCATGAAGTAAATTTTTTGGATCACCAAATCAAGCCCTATAGTAATGTAATAACTATGCACCTATATAGGTAAAATTAATATATAATTGTGTTTGATTAAAGTAATTTAGGTGATATAAGGGATGAAGAACAAAAGAGAGAAGAAGTAATGATTGTTCCCAAGTAACCCATCTCTTCTCAAGTTTTTCAATTATTTTGGTTCGAAATTGTGATATTTCAAGTTCTTTAAATATTTGCATAATAAAGCCAAAAGAGTATAAAACATTATAAAGATAGGTCTTGTTATGTTGCATAAAGTCAAGAACTTTACAAAACAGATGAAATATATTACACAATATTATAAGTAATTTTCAAAAAGAATCATAATTAACAGCAGCTTTAATATCATTAGGAAGCATCAAATCATTATCTAAGACTGCATCATTTTTGGTAATAAGAGTCTAAAAAAAAAAATTTAAAAATTAAAAATTTTAAATTTTAAATATATTATTGAATAACTTACTTTTAATAGATGCTTGCTTTTAAAAATATTATCAAAACATTCAAAATAACTATTTCATCTTGTTATAGTTGGCATAATGAAATTAACATATTTTTTAAAATATCTCTTTGTTCATCATGAAGTTTGGCAGTAAAATATACAGAACAATAAAAAAAAGTAACAATATGAATTGCATGTTTTTTTGTATTTTTAAGCATTATGGATTCTTTAAATATATCACCAACACAACAATTTGCCTGATAGACAAAACATGGAATAAACACCTTATTACACATTTCACATCTTAAATAATGATGTGCTGCTGCATATAATTTAGTTGAGTCAGTTATAAGACAGTTTGCTCTTATATTTAATTTTTTTACTTCTTCAAAAAGATTACAAATTTTAAATATTACTTTTTTTTTACTGTCTTTCAATACTAATATCTTTTGTTCTCCAAACTAAAATTTTTCCTGAAGATGTAATAAATACTATGTCTATTAATTTCTGATTTACAATATTGCACCAACTATCAAAAGCAATTATAATACCAATTTTATCATTGCAAGTGAGATCTTTAATTGTTGTCTGAACTTCGTTAGTTGCATTCATTAAAATATAATTGCTAAGTAATCTTTGATTAGGTAATTTTATATATAGAGAAATAAAATAGAATAACTCTCTAACTTTAGGATTTTCTATCTATCAAAAAGCAAATTCAGCTGAAACTGTAGCACAAAGTACAAGATGTTCAAATTTGGAAACTTCAGATGCATTAAGAGGATGACCAATATATTGAGACAATATTTTTTGTTTTTTTTAAAAAAGAGTTTGAGATGTTATTAAATGTTAATAATAAATTAGAAGAGTGAGTTGATGTTGTTAAAATTGAATCTTCAGCATTGGCTTCATCTATATGAAATATTACTGCATGTTTTTCTAATATTAAAGTAGCCAAATTAATAATATTTTGTATTTGTTCAGATAAATGTTTTATGACAAAATAAGAACAATCTTTAAGATGATTAGCACAATATCATAAAGTATTTGTAATTTTCATATTTTCATTCTGCAAAGCAATCTCTTTTTCTACTGCATCTATACATGCTTTGCAAATACATTTTTAGTTACTTTTATTCACCTACTTATTGGATATAATATAAAAATATTTAGTAAGCTGATATAGTAGCTTTCTTTCTTTACATTGCATAATTGCAAAATAACAAAAAAATTGAATAAATCGATTAACAAAAAGTCTTGAACTAGGATATAAGAATTAATACAGTATACTGAAAGAACATGTTTAGTGTTTAAGGTCAAGGGTATATCAGCTTATATTATTATAAGTCTTTGTGTTACACTACCCTACTAACTAGCCAATTTATTTTATTATTCTCTTCCCAAAAAAAATTTTATAAATCAAGTTATTGTTGAAAAAAATCTGAATGAATGCAAGTTCTTTACTTGAACTAGTTATAAATATTGGTTTTAAACATATGATGATCGTATGATGGTTTATGCAGATAATTAATTTATAATAAAAAGTTTATATATGATTAATTTATTTGTATCAGCTAGTAGAAAATTCAATTTTTTTTTATATGAATGTTTTAAACAATGGCAAAAAGTTTTCTGTTTATTATTTTTACTTAGATTATTATTGCAAACTATACCATATTCAATATCAAATTTCTTAATTCAATTAATGCAAAGATACAAAATGTAGAAAACTATAAGATTAGTGTTGCTCTTTTGCTGCTAATAAAGTAGTTATTTTAACATATTTCAGATTTATTTCTAATCTCTTTCTTGCTAGATTAGCACAATGTAGATTAAACCCAGTCATCAGCCTATTTAAGAACAGTGTAGGGTGTATATAGCTGTTAATGTGTAAATAGTGCAGAAAATGTACCAGATGTACAACTGCCTATTACTTCTTAATTACCTGGTTTTGATGTAATTTACAGTATTAAATAGTATCAATAACTGTAAATGCTGTATTTAACTTGTTAATTTTTTATTTTTTTTTTATTTTGGAGAGGGGTAAAAGAGAAGAACTTTTTAATTAGTTAGAAAATAAGGTTTTAGGCAACTTTGAAAAGCAGTGAAAAAAAAGCACAAATTTTTCTCTTGAATTTGTAGCTTATTTATACTTATTATTAGTCTTGCTAATCAATAACCTAATAATTAATTTAACCTTTAAATCAATGATCTAATAATTCATGCAATTTCTATTTGACTTACTAGTTAATGACCTAATAAATCATGCAATTTCTCTTTGACTTACTAATTAATAATCTCATAACCATAATAATCATAAGATCAGATGATCCTTACGATAATATTTCTTCTGTGCCTATGTCACAGTTAGTCCTAAAACTATATATATAATTTCAAGAAATAATTTTCTAGCTAAAAATAAAATAATCAATAAATATATATATAATAATCAATAAATATATATACATAATATAAATTAATTTTTTATATAGTTTTTACTTAGTCATTTGCTAATAGAGGTAAATTAACATCAGACATATCATTGAACATTGAAAAATGGTTCAAATTGTCCTATATAACATAATTGGACAATGTCTAGTGACAACCACAACTGCACCACATTGAACATTAAGCATTGCATAAGACAATTTAAAAATGTCCAATGTTTGATAAAAAACTATCAGATATATAACTTGCACAATCTTGAAGTTAAATATTCTATATATTCTGAATATTATATAGTTAAGAATAAAGTAGTATATTAGTAAAAATTATACAACTAAGTTTAACTTTGTTTTTAACATATTCAATATAGTTGGTAAAAATTTTGTTATATATATTTTGACTAAAAACAATGTTATAAAGATAGTATTCTATACAAAGAAATGCAAACTGGCAATTAGATAATGCAAACACTAGATAAGTTCTTGTGGTTATATAAATCAGTTAAAATTGGATAACAAGAAGTCTATTTGGGAAAACCCAAGTAAAGAGGTAGCTAAATTTTTAACAGCCTTATTGTAAAGACTAGCCTAGAAAAATAGATACCAAGATTATAATACCTGGTCATAGTAGCTGAACAGGCAAAAATCTTTAGGTTGGAAGTCTTAGAAGTATTACCAACTAGGCCATCAGAATAAACTGAAAAAAAAGAATATTAAGCTGACCTGATATACTGATAGACTAGTTGTAGTTCTATATAAGCTATTTGGATTAGGAGTTTGGTAAAAAGACAAGTAAAAAGGCAGAGTATACTAAAGTACTAGTGTTATGCTGTAAAGTAGATGCTAAGGTCTTAGTATATTCTACAAAAGCATAGCAGTTTAATGGTTAAGCCCTAACTGCAAATATTGATTTCACTATAGTAATATCTAAGTTAGTTATAAAAATAAATATAAAAAGCTCTAAGAGGTTTACCTCAAGAATAAAATAGTTCTAAGGTTGAGACAATAATCTGGGCATCAGATATGACTCAGTGAAGTTAACAGGTTTGCAGACTTAAAGGATTTAATATAAAATACCTAAGCAGAATATTAGATACAACAATTGATAAGGAATCTTTAGATGAACTTCTTAAATAAGTAATATAGAAAAGTTATATATGTAGCTAATTGTACACTCTTTCTATAATGGTTCACTAAACCATATTTACTATTGTTAAATAAAAGTCAAAAGACCCAAGAGGTCACCTTAATATCAAAAAAAAAATAATAATAGTATTCTATTGTAGTAATAATAACTACATTAATAATATAATATATATATGTATTAGTTATTTTTTTAGTATTTGCAATTTTAACAAAATATAATAATTTAGCTATAATAAGCTAAGTTTGTTTTGTTTATTTATTGTTAAATATAAACTAATATTCTAGAACTTAAATAGTTTATTTAAAAAATAAAAATTAAGTAACTATTATAGATAATAGGTTAATAATTAGTTAAAGGTTTATTGGTTGTAAGTGTTAATTTAGCAGAATTAATTTGAATGTTAGCTATATTGTAAAAAGATTCTGCTATAAAGAGAATTTGTAAGAGTTCTTGCTATAAAGATGCAATTTATAAAGTATTATTTATGTAAACAAAAACAGAGCAATAAGATTCAAGCTTGTTAAATATTTAATCTTTAAGGTTAGTTGGCCAGAAAACT